CTGGGATGACAAGGATGATGAGACAACTGAGATGATGAGGGTGTCAGGTATGACTGGGATGAATAGGATGACTAGGATGACAAGGATGAAAGGAATGACTGGGATGACTATTAATGAGATGACATGGATGGCTGGGATGACTAAGATGACTAGGACAATTGGGATTACTAGGATGACTGGCATGACTAGGACAACAAGACGCTACGGAGCGTACACTTTGGCGTCATGGTTGTGGAACAGATTAATTGTAAATGCGGAGGAACAGTAAGAAATGAAATATGGTAAGAGTAAGGTGTTAATTTGTGAAATTATGGGATTTGTCAGGATATTCTGAAAAGAGACAAAATAATTGTCTCTGAGATATTAGCCCAGTTATGCTCTGATGACTCCATAAAAAATCCTTCTAAATTTGACTTGGGTCTAAATGTTTAGACCTAAGTCAAATATGAGGTTACTGGCGGTGAATAACAAGACTAACAAAACAAACAGTGAAAAGAGAATTCTCTATTTTTCTTAGTCACATCAGGCTTCCAAAACAGCATAGCAGTCTCATGTACTGATTAAAGATATGTAAAACATGGGTAAGGAGTCAATTACGTTGAGCATGGAATTGGCTGTTAGGAGTTCGAATGTTTGAGGATAATTATTCACTGACTATCAGCACGCAGGAATGTCGGATTAGCACAAGGAAGTTTAATACCAAAGGAACATAGCCTTTTCAGACCTTTAAAACACAGTATCCGCCAACACAAACTTGACTTGAACTTAAGTACAACTAAACAGCCTCTACCAATAATAACAAACTCTTACTTGAACTTCAGATATCTTACAGCTTCCGCCAACTTGTAAACACAGAACTTGAAAATCGACCTTCGTCATACTTGACTAAACACAGCAGTCCAGCTGGTGGAAAAAAACTTAGTTCGTCAAAAGACCTCGCTTGGAACTTGTATACCGTTTGACAAAAGGTTCTAGAAACTACTAAACGGGCGAATAGTAGTAGCTTTTCGACATATATTATGATTTCAGTAACTGATGCAAATCTGCTGACTCATGCTGAAATGTAAACATGCCCTAATTAATTATTCATGAATAATCCAAAAAAGTAGAGAACGTTTGAGAAAGTCAGGCAACGCATGAAAGCAATTTTACTAGGTAACACTCAACAAAGACAAAATGTCTTTGTGCAGCATTTTGTAACTTTAAATTCATCATAAAGCAAGTCGAAAGGAGGGCTCACTTGAGAAATGTTTTTCAACACTCGAAGAGAAATTTTGTGTCTCTGCGCGGCCACGTAATATCCTCTATTTATTCCTCGAGTAAATTAAAGACTAAACTCGAAGTGATCTCGAGATATCACTAAGTAGTCCGGTTTCATTTCGTCAAATAGCCGAAACAAGCCAAAAAGTTGCGAACTTGCACGCCCAATCTTGTCCCAAAACTAGTGCATAATTTCATAACCATTTTTCATATCCCGAACTACCTTGGGTCACAGTAGCGCAATCGGCTAATCCCTCAACTTAGAGTCTCCTCTGACCTGACGGGTCACACAGGTGAGTCGGTCCAAACCCCGGGGAAGCCAAAATAATAATTCTTTCTTCCTCAAAAAAGTTAAAGAATAAATCAAGCAAATCAAAGTTATTTCGAGATATCTGGCACTAATTCGGCTCTCACTTCGTCAAATAGCCGAATAAAACTGAAAACCTACAGACTTTGCATGCCCAATCTTGTCAAAAAATGGTAACTTTGATACATTCCTGAGCGTCGCAAATCCTTTACTTTGCGCTCCGCCGAAGTAACAAGGACAACTGATATGACTAGGATGAATAGGATGACTTGGTTTACTGTGATAACAGGGGTGACAGGATGGTTGTGATGAAAAGTTATAGTAGAATAACTAGGGTGACTAGGATGAATGGGTGATGAGATAACTGAGATGATTAGGGTGACTGGGGTAACTGTGATGACAGAGATACCTAGAATGACAGAGATGATTAGGATGACTAGGGTGACTGGGATGACTAGGGGAACTAGGATGACTGAGTCGATTAGGACAACTGGAATGACTGGGGTGGCTGGGAAGAATGGAATATCTGAGATGACTGGGATAACTACGATGACTACAGAGACTGAGATGACAAGGATGAATGGGTTGACTCAGATTAGCCTACGTGTACCCCCCCCCCCCCCCCCCCCCGACAAAGGAGGATGGACAGAGGGTGTGGCTAGACATAGGCTAATCTAAGGGATAGGGCAACATGACAGTGGTGACTTTGTTGACTATGACGACTGGGATGGGTGGGATAACTAGAATGATGAAAGGCGGACTAGGATGACTGGGATGAGTAAGATGACTGGGTTGACTGGGATAACTAGGATGACAGGTGAGACTAGATTGACTTGGAAGACTGTGACCGGGATAACTGGGATAACTGGGGTGGCTAGGGTCACTGGGATGACAAGAGTGACTTGGGTGACTTGGATGACAGAAATGACTGGGACGAATGGGACTACTGGGTTGACTAGGACGATTGGGTTGGCTTTGGGGGAGACATTGGGATTCGGAAATTGTGTGTACCTCTGGAAAAATTCTAAACAAAATGTAGTAGCTTTATAGAAGTTACGAAAGTTAAAAAAAATGATAAAACTGATACCTGAAATGCCTGAAATCACCAAGGGGGACCATGATCCTTCTACTTCTTGAGATGTCATCCCTTTAATTGAAGAAATGTGTTTGATATCCAACTTGTGATGGGCAAAGAATCTTCCAGAACATCACGAAATGGCAGGGGTTCTGTTAAATGGCCAGAGATGAAAGAAATAATACAGGTAAATTTGACTGTCAGGTAGAAAGGAAGAATTAGTCTCCCTTCCTATATATGAACGTCCATTTTCCTGCAAAAACGTCTCCTACCAAAATAAATAAATAAGTGAAGTCTTGCTAATTCTTTTCAAAATTCATTGAAGATTTTAACAAAAGATTTGCCTGCAATATTAACTTTCTATACTTAAGTAATTTTAAAATTTTGTCATCTGACAACAGCTTTACATTGGCTTGTGAAGACTATCTCAAGAAACATTAATTGTTTAAGTAAATAAGTTAAGCAGTTACTTATAAAAAATGCTGGCTGGCAACAACAGCTGGGTGGTTAGAACCAATGCAAAAGTCCACTTCATCATCAGAGGAAAACCCTGAACCAGCTAAACCCCATACTCAGGGCACTTTCCAAAAGTCAGAACTGGCTGGCTAGACCATAGGCGGACCAGTCATTTTGACAATGAAATAGGCTCTTACCAAGAGTTTTAGCTGAAAAACCATTCCTTCATGCATACTATTTAGGATATGTCTGACTTAGTTGTTTTGATTAAAAGTGAAATTCTCATTGGGATGGGAATGGTCGGGTCAGTCAGTTCTGAAAAATGGAAAGGGCCCTCAGTGATCTCCCGCGCTGGTCATTGACAGAGGGTAACAACAGAACTCTGTAATGAAGTAGGGTAACTATTATCATTATTCATTCAAATCCCTGATTCTGATTGGCTAAAAGCACATGCATAATTCACCATAACCAGTTACTGATGACCAAATTTGGAAGAATTTTGTGTTTAACAAGGAAATGACAACAAAAATGCAGCATTCTTGCAGGTTAGGCACCATAAACTGAGAAGACCTCGGGACGAGGTTGAGTTGTTTTGGTTGTGAAAACAAAAAATGGCGGACATTTCACTCATTTCAAGAGTAAGAACTAGGCGAAATTAGAGCTAAAAACATGGCAAGAACAGCAAGAACACAACTCTAAGGGTGACATCTGCTATTTGGAGAATATTTGCAGAGCTGAACAACCCTAAACGTGCACTATCGAAGGTGAACTTAACATCGATGGAGGTAAGCATGCTTAAGCTTTATTTTTAAACTAGGAATTATTTTGAATGAATAATAAAACAATTATTGATTTCAGATTTCGTATCATATGAAGAATTATGGAGATCTCAGAGGGTTTTATCCACCTCTGCCTACGGCCTCAATGGATAAAACCCTCCTCCATCTCCATATTCTTCATAAGATACTCAGCCTCGTTCATTGTAAAGTAATAAATAAAGACAGCATACAAAACAAACCAGTTGTAATTCCTAGAATATGATGCTGTTGTCCTCTAAATACAAACTCACCTCCAAAGAATGCAGTCCATTTCTATTAACCTCTGACCAGTTAATGCCTCCTTTGTTGTCTTTTTTCTGCCTGAAAAAATACATATAAACAAACCATTTTTATCAGCACATAAATAAGGTGACAATATGAATCTGTCAATTCTTGCTAAAAATCGCAGCACTTCTTGCAATCCATAGAAAAACACTTCATGAACATGAATATGTATAGTGACTTTTCCTAGATGGAGAAGATCAACCATTTAGATTTTTTGGGAACACTTTGACAATAAATGAGCTTGAAAATGTTTTGAAATAATATATTGAAAGGACTTCAGTGAGATAGTGTTCCATTCATTGGCACAATAGCTTAAAAACTTTGCTGTCACTCATTTCTTAAACCTATTTATAGGTGTTTGGATATCACATATAATATCTGCTTAATGCCTAAAGACCATACCCACACAATTCTTGTTTTTAAACCATTAACTCTACGCTAGAGAATTAACTCTCATCTCAAGTATGATAATAAACATCAATACCAGTCAGCAATAAAACACAGGTGCATAGCTAGGATTTTTGTAGAAAGAGGTGTGCACAATTTTCCAAATCCCACTCCCCACATCCTTAAAGCCCAAATCTTTTTCAGGTTTCTTGATTAAAGGAGAGCTTACATTGTAAGCTGAAACATTATTAAACTGTATATGAAATGACATAATCAGAAAGTTGTAAAAATCATAAATAATTGGTTGTCATTTATTACACCAACAAGCTACCATCTTGTTTCACAAAATTTAATTGTTTAACACTACCAAAGAGCTCTGCATTTGCATAATTGTGCCCTACTTCATCTACTGCATCTCAGTCATCCTTGTCGCCACAGTAATCCCATTCATCACAGTCATCCCAGTCATCCTAGCCATCCAATTCATATCAGTCATTCTGGTCATCCCAGTCATCTAAGTCATCCTTGTCATCCCAGTAATCCCATTCCTCACAGTCACCCTAGCAATCCAATAGACCATTTTTGCTATATTAAAATTCATACTTGACTCCGAGGCTCGGGGGAATAAAACAAAAGAAATGTATTATTCATTGCTGAGCCTCAAGATGATTCCTTTTGTTTTATCCCCCCAAGCCTCGCAGCCAAGTATGAATTTTAATATAGTATTACCAATGGGTCTATTCATACCAGTCACCATAGTCATCTCAGTCACTCAGTCATCCTTAGTAGTCATCCCAGTTGTCCCAGTCATCCTATTCATCCAATTCATGTCACTCATCCCAGTAATCCTAGTCATTCTAGTTATCCCAGTCATCCTACAGTACTGTTCAAAAGAAAGTTGATACTTGATTCTTGATCCTTGCAAGAATCGAGAATGGAGTCTCGATTCTCGATTGTTGCATCTCGATTCTCGATTCCTGTAAGACCCATCAAACCGGAACGGCCTTTGTTTACAAATGATTATAAAGGGTTTTTGTTTTGAGTAATTTGCTCTCTACTCTCGATACTCAATCGCTGCGAGAATCTACAACCTTTGTTCAAGTTTTGAGCAATCTTCTAAGCTCTCTAATATCAAAAATATGTCTCTACTCTATAAAATAACAAACTCTACTCAGCATTTGATTCTTGTGAGAAATTCCTGAACTATGCAAATTATACAGTAGCAGTTTACATTTGCATTCCCTCCCATGGCTAGGGTGGCAATTTGCGTCAAAATCTTAAAAGTGTTCGAACAGCTGAAAACAAGTTCACGGTTGCATCAATTTTATACGTATTTTTCGTTCCTTTTCCATGGGACAGAGGAAACACAAAAGTTACATAAGTCAGAAAATAGTGCACATTGCTTAATTATACACATCTCTTAAATGAGCAACCGTTTGCGTTCTTTTATGTGGCCCTTCGTTCAAGAACTTTTACCGTTGTGTTTTCGTTGTTTTCGTAGTATTCCACGGTTTGGTTATTTGTGCTTTTTGTCTTGCGCTTATATACAAACATCTTCTTTTTTCTCACAACCTCACCGCATATTGTTGGGCAGGCTAACAGAACATTTTGAAAAGCACGAAGGCTTGATAAATTTGGAAGTAACTGACTCTAAGAGACGATGTACAACTTACGACTTATAATCGGTTTCTTGAACCGCAAGGGACCTTGCAACTGGTGATGTTTGTTTGATGTTTGAATAGGTATGGAGACTTTTGTCGCCCCATACAACAATACTGGGGCCAACTGTGTGAACAGTACGATGAGCAAGAACTGGGGCATATGGTGATGGTGTCGCATAGCTTTGCGGCGGCAAAAAGTTTGGCCGAACATTTCCTATTGGCGTTGATTTTGTTAAAAATGACAATTCTTCGGATGAGGCAGGACAACAATGCGCAGGGCACATGTTAATTGCAGATTGCGATGGACAGATAGCAGGTAACTGTGTTAAAAAATTAACACTCTTGACAACAATGTTGTTGGCATGGCGAAATGCAGCTCACAGAGCAACTGCTTGGACATGAGCTTTGCATCTGCAGAGACACCTTACAACAAAAAGATGGGCACGATAGTAGGCACTTAGAACTGCAAATAGCTGGACACGATTCTTGTATTGATTGCGAATGTTCCATAATAGAAACGTGTTGAGACAAACAGCCGTATGCACGACAAGACAATTGGCATATTTGCTGGCAATGATGTGGACAGGTTGAGGGCAGAACAAATTTGAATTTGCAGCAAAATTTCGGGCACGTAGGAAGACAATGTGACTGACAAACTGGATTACACGTTGGTTGCACCAGGACAGCGGATGGTGTTAGCTGTTGTGAATAGCAGTGACTGGGACACAGACAATCACACGTAGTCATGCTATGGCTTGGACAAAGAAATACGGAAAATGAAGAACACTGCACATTTGCACTGTACAACAGTGCAAAGGGCATAGTTCATGACAGTTTGCGTGGCATTCAGAAGGATATATTGGCAGAGTTGACACAGTACGAAGACTACAGCAATGATCAGGACACCCTGTTCCACAACTAAAGCTACAGTGACCTGGGCAACCAACTGCTTCATGGAACTCAGGAACTTTACAGCAGTGATCCAGGCTAACTTATTGGTAAATAACTTATTGATTTTATGTTTATAGAGGGCCACAAGTTTATCAGTTTGGATCATAACTGTCACATGTTTAACCCTCTTTAAATAAAGGCACAGTCTTCTCCCCAAATTTTAGCTCAGCAGGTAAGGGACCATTCACAGCCGGTAAGGCAAAAAATAATGTGCCAGAGGCACAATCTCATGGTGGAGTGAGGGACATGGCCCTGCCCTTGTTGGGAAATTTACGAGCTAAGTTCTCTGAAACGTCGTTCCCTCATTTTAAGACCTATTTTAAGCAAATTGGCCATTGTCATATTAAGACAACAATTTAATTAAACATTTAATTCCAATAACTTTACTTTCCAGTAACTTTGTCTTCAATGTTCTCTTTCCAAAATGCATGGCCCAGAAAAAGAAAAGCTGTGTACACTTTAGTACTTTTCCACATATTCATTCATTTGCTTGTGAGAATCAGATCACATCACAACTTGCATATTTTTTAAAATTACTTATTTAATTTAAGTAAACCTTCAAGTGGTTGCAGGCGGTAAGAATTGTTGCTTCAGGCGGTAAATTTTACCGGTTACCTCCTGATAAGGAGGGAAGTGATGCCTTAGGCATCACTTCACTTCACTTAGTCATCCTACTCATCCTAGTCATCGTAGTTATTGTAGTCATCCCAATCATCCAGTCATCCCAGTCAACCCCATTACATGTATATCAGTCACACATTATTGAAAAACACCCATTGAAAAAATAACCTAGTCACCTCAGTCATTTTAGCCTTCATACATGTAAAATCCCACTGGTCCTAGTCATTCCTGTCATTCCAGTCACTCTAGTCACCTCAGCCTCTCATCCCAGTCATCGTAGTCATCTTGGTCATCCTAGTAATACCAGCCATCCCAGTCACCCTAGTCATCCTGCACTGTAGTAATACCGGCCATCCCAGTCATCTTAGTCATCCTAGTAATACCAGCCATCCTAGTCATCCTAGTAATACCAGCCATCTCAGTCACCCTAGTCATCCTCAATCATCCTAGTCATTGTAGTCTCCCCAGTCACCTTAGTCCTCTCAGGCATATTTATTTGCTTTGCTTTGCTATAGTTTCTTTATTGTACTGCATATCATTTCAGTACTTTCAGTTCATTTAGTTATGTACATGCGTAGCATCTGAACAGGTTGCTACGCCCCAGAAACAATTTTAACAAGCCTCAAGAAATTATTACAATGTATGAGGAACAACTGTCAGGAAGGATGTAATCCAAAACTTACATTTTGATTCTGTCTTCTCTTTGTTACTCTTCAGGGTAACAACTGTCAGCCATCAGTCCATTACACTTTTGACTGCAACAAAACAAAAAGTCACTTAAACACCAGAAAATCAAGGGGACACAGCCATGTGTCAGCTATAAAGGGATTCAAAAAGAAGGGGGGTGGGGGATTAGTGGTGAATGAAATAAGGGAATTCACTTCACTAGTCAGCTGAAGTCCTAGACTTCGCAACAATAGTCATGTTAAAGGGTTCAATTTCTCCAGCCCAAACTAACACTGAAAGGTAATTATCTAAAATGAAGTCTAAATGGCGGTTTAAGAGACTCAGTAAGAATTTAGATCTGTTTAGAAGGTGTTCATTATTTTTAAGTATATAACTGGCTCTCTAGTCTAGGCTGTACTAGCCTTCTTGATGCTATTTACAGCAAAGTTAAAATGATTTACATGTACATGAGGAGGGTGGTTTGTCAAACACTGCCTAATTAATCTGTTTTAATAACTGGGCCTTAGAATTAACTGACAAGAAAGTGCTGCTTTTTTTCTGACATCTGCAAATGGTTAGATGCTCCAGTCTTCTCAGATGAAGATGAAAACTGTAGGTCAGGGGCAGCACACTACACTTTCACTGATCTGACTCTTGTAGGTACCTAACAATCTCTGGCAATGACCAACCCAAGTGTTTATCTTTTCAGAACTGTGGAATGGGTAGAAAGGGAAGGGCACCTCACCTGAGACCTTAGAGTCTTGCCCGTTTTTATTTTCATTGGGCTAAGGTCTGTGCACAGAAAAACTAGCAAATGAAGGAAACAGGAGGAGCAAAGGAGAAGGAAAGAGGAAATGGGGAAGGAGAGGCATGAGAGAGAGAATATTGGTGATAGGATAAAACAGAAGGGCAGTAAAAGGTATAGGGTAGAGCTAGGATGGATAGAAGTGGTACAGACAATGCAAAGTCGACATGAGTGAGGCGGCATTGAACAGTGGGATAAAAATAAATGAAACAAGAAAAGGGTAAAAAGGTGGTACAGGTGATAACAAATCTAACAAAACAGGATAAAAATCGAACAAAATGGGCGAATAACAAGGGCAAATAAGTGGTGCATGGAATAATTATTAAAACAAAATTCAGAAGGGAAACAAGGAAAAAAAGAAAGTCTAGGGGGTACTAGACAAAGGAATATATTTATGGAAACAACAAAGCCAGATAAGAAGAACAAAAAGGGGACAGGAAATCTGAAGGGGTCTATTAGAGAAAGCAAAGGTTTATAAGTACAAGCTGCTGAATGAAAATAACGGCTACAAGATAATAGAACGGGAACAATGTGAGTGGCATACACAGAGATAAAAGCACATACAGGCAAAATAAATAATAGAAACAAAAGACACATAGGGAAGGATGAAGGGAGAAAAGGGAGTTGCTTAGGGAAAGAAGGCTGGGACACATAAATTCACTGGAGTAATAGAAATACAGTGGAAGCGGACACTGTCTTAGGTGAACAGTTCTACTTAAGGCTTCCTTTACAAAAAGCATGTTTCAACTCCCATAAAAACTCTCTTCTTTACATTCCCATAAGCGGACAATCTCTGTGCCAGGCAGCTGTGGACACTTTCAGGGTTAATGAGTTAGATTTTAGCTTTTTTTTAAGCTCCCGTAAGCAGACACCTGAACAAATAGAATCTTATTATGTCAACTTTATAACACTGTTTGTCACAATTAATTTATGTCAGCCTTGGTGTTTTTTTTTTCTTTGTATGCACACCAGTTACACTTCAAAACACCCCTTGAATTTTAAGCTTGTGACTGAATTACAACATTGTCAGAACAACTGTATAGCCAAACACTAACTAATAGGTTTTTTGCATTTTCTATGCTTATTTGTTGTCGGGCAAGCTCCCATACTGAGAACCGTTCTTGTAAATGGCCAGCTCCAGAAATGGAAACTTTTTCATGTCCCTAGGGTGTCCCCATAGAGTTTCCACTGTAGTGATAGTAATAGCAACAAACAAAGAAAGGGAACAAGAGGGGAGAAGGAGAAGTCAGCAGTAAGAGAATAATATTAGTGAATGGAAAAATGGAAACAAAATACAAATTAAAGCAGAGACTTGTCGACGTCCCTGCTGTAATTTGTACTTTGTAAAATGTGTCAACAGATCTCACTAACAAGTCCATATTACAGTCAAACCTCTATTAAGCAGTCACCCTTGCGAATTAGCCAGGTGACCACTAAAATTAAACCCATAATGTGGCAGAAATTGACCTAGAGGGCAAAATTGATTATTATATTTACAACAACAGTGACAGAAATACGTTAACATTATTGATGTTCTGTGGAGTTGACGCCTAGACAACAAATTTTTACAGTAATGTTGTTCATAAGGGAATGTGTCAGCTTATTCTAAAATCGCATTCAACCTGAAGAGAGAAATTCAGTTATGGTTGTCTAATTTGGTGAAGCAAGTCACTGACTTTGCTCAGTGCCAGCGAGAGTTCTTTGTGATTAAAAATATGCCATTTAGTGATTTTTATGTAACAAGGTTACCATTGAACAGAGGTAAATTACAATAAAATTAGCCATTTGAGAAATCCAAACAGTGAATGTCTCTACTTAATAGAGGTGGCCGTTGAATAGAGGTCAATTTTTACAGAAAATACGGGAAGCAAATTTCGGAAAATTGATAGGTGACCGACTAATAGAGAGTGGCGGCTTAACAGAGGGCTGCTCAACAGAGGTTTGACTGTAAAAGTTGAAAAAGACGTGGAAGGGTCAATTCTAGAAATTGCCTCTTTATGAAGACTATCATGAGGAAAAATTAGATTCTGGTCACTGTTAGGGGTAACAGGATGAAGACCACAAAAAAATGGAGAAAAAATTAATCGCTCTGTAGCTTTCCATTTCTGCCAGCACTAGCTAAGAAATTGGGCACGTGACTTAAAAAAATGTACAGTTCACCAACACACAACATTTTGACTACCCACCCATCCCTAGCTAACCCCTCTTAACCCAAAAAATTCTGACAGGACATGATTTAAAATTGTTAGCTAAGCTACTACTATGAAGTTTCGTTAGCTCTAAAATTTCCTTGTAAGCTTAAAGCGTTACATCTTACCTGTGCTTTGATCAAAATTCTCCATGCGGTGCAAGATCAGTGCTTTGTCACCACAGACCAGGGTTTGTACACAGACTTGATCCTTTTTGTTCAAGATAAAGTAATTTCTTTTCATCACAGTTAAATGATCCACAAGTTAATAAACCACTGAACTGAAAGACAAAGCCGCGTTCTTGCAGAATCCTTGCGCATCCCCTGATTCAATTTGAAGTTGAACAAAGGCGCCATCATCGGGCGCCATCTTGGTTTCCCCTGTTCCCAAGCTCCACTCGGTCAAACCTTGGGGGGCTGCCAGGGGAGGGGTGAGGTGAGGAGGTGAAGAGTTGCCAAGAAAGGTGAACAGTATTACAGAGGTGTAAAAGTCTTCTTTACAGTCGACTTACCGGATTTTTAAAGTTTTTTATTTAATTTTTTCTTATCCCATGTATCGGAAAACATAAAACTGGCATGTTGCTACACAGGCATCCCAAGCCTAGACGCTTGGTAGGATCTACGGAGAGTCCATGCATTTCAGAAAAATTCATATTGGAAACTGCGAAAACCGCGTACCTTCATTAGTTCTTTTAATCAATCGATGGATAATACAGGAAAACCAACCTAAATGATTTTAAAAAGCGGAAGAACAAAATGTAGTAACGTTATAAAAAAACCGACGATTTTCATATTTCAAGTTCCTACGTCTCGATCCTCGGCTCCATATGAAACCTATGAAATGTTAATCAGTATTAATAGATGTATTTACAAACGCTCGCATAGAGAGTTAGGATGCCTTTGGATGCATATTCATTTCTCGTCCGTTGAAAGCGAAAAAAAAAATCATTTTCGGTGACATCAGCAAAACGCAGATTGATTTTTGCAAGGATCATGAAAACGTAAACCCGTAAGAATAGATAACCTCACGTTCAGCAAAGGCACATATGGTCAAAACGGCAAAAGCGGTCTTAACTTTGCAACATTTTTCCTAACGATGTAGAATTAGTGGAGTAAATATCCAGCCAGTAAACGTGCCTCTCCCGTCTCGCGCCTTAGTAACGCGCGTGGTCATTTACGTGTCGCGCGCGTTTTGCTCGATGGACTATGACAAAGATTGCTCGTAGAAATAAGGACCTAAATTTGATAAATTAAGCACAGAATGCAACAAAATAGGCACCAAACTATACTGACAAAAGCATCTAACAAAATGAATTTAATACCGAATACAAAACGCTTAACACCAAATATAATCAAGAAAGTGCCTAACATAATAAATGAAGGTCCTCAATAGGTTTTCCGGGATACGGGATTTCCCTTGTTTGAAGCTCGGGATTCAGGATTTTACAGCAAGATCAGGGAAGGATTCGGGATTGAAAGTATTCGCGGAAGGTGGGATGCCAAAAATAACCCTCGGGATCACGGGATTGCTCGAAATCTTGGTTCGGGATTACGGGATTGAAAAACTCTATTGGGAACCCTCATAAATTAAAAGCACCAAGTATAATAAGCCAGCGCCAAATATAAAGACAAAAAGTACCATAAGGCAGTTATGGCGTTCCATATCAAATGCCACAGAATGTCATATATGAAGACGAAGAATTAAGCTGATAGTTAATGTCCTAAAATGTCACAGTACCAAGACGAAGAATTAGGCCGTCAAAGAGTGTTGAAGAAATGGCACACGAATTTCGGTTCGGAACAACAGGACTACTAGCCTTTTCAGATGTTCCGTTGCTCCCGGAAAGTTTCGCTGGTACGACGGAAGACGTCGTGTTCCATTTTAAGTTACTTTCACAACGGGATTTTCCGGAACCTTCTTGTAAATGGTAAGCAACGCGAACGTCAGTTGATTCACGTGCAGCTGGTTCTTGCTTATTCTTGCCCTCATTTGTTTTGCATTTTGAAAAAGAGCGGGAAACTGAAATTGCTGCATCAGCATTTCAAAACTACATATGGCGTCATTTCTTAAACGTGTGTCACACTTTTGATCAGTCAGTCGCTGATCGATTGAACATAATAGAAGAAAGGTTGGAAACGCGAGATGTCGAATCAATAACAGCACGTTTTATAACAAAGCTTCTATGACCTCTTCTATTGCAGGGAAAATTCCCATTTGCGGTTTCGTTGAGGGTTGTTGGCATCTCAAGGAAGGACGGGAAACCCCCTTGACCTCTATCCAGGTGATCGCGGTGGAAAATGCTTTATTTTATTGCATCAGACAGGAGCGTGATAGGCTCCTGATCAGAAAATGTTGATCCAGGGGGAGACTGATTTTCTTAATTTCTGTTTTGTTATTGGAAAGTTGGAGTATAGGCAGGTGAGCGAGAGGCTTAAAACGGGTGAATTGGTGGATAATCTCCGCGCTTTTACATTATCTTGATGTTTTAATAAAAAGACAAAGCCCTTTCGCATTCCTGAAAAGTCGCTTCAGATTGGTTTAAAAGCAATCGGCTAATACCTTTATAAAAGGTAAAATAATCACCGAGAGGCTTGTTCAACCTTGCCCTCTAAAGTTTTGTTGTCTATTTCGAAAAGAGTGAAAAAAATATGTTACATCAGCTTTTCTGAAGAGAAATGAAATGAGTAGAAGTTGCTCAATAGAAAGTTTAATTTCTATTGAACAACAATGAAAATACATTACATGTAAAATATGGTACATTGAAGCCGTAAGCGATATAGTGATATCTGCCTTGGCTTATACACTCTTACTATAGACAGCGATTTCAGTTTCCATCATCATGATTAACCAGCAGGTGTTATTTGGAACATTTTTGTCGCAGGGAAATATCCCTTTGCAAGCCCTTTGTTATTGAAATTTTTTTAGTCCTTTTGAAGCCTTGTTGTGATTGGTCAGAATCGAAGGAAACGATTACGTCATGAAGCCTATAAATTTTCACTCCAGACGGCGGGCAATTCAAATTGAAATCGTCAATTACTGACATAGCCGTATTTTCTGAGGTAAGGCTGATATTCTGTACACAAAGCGTATTTTTCTATTTGCTACTCTGTACGTCAGAAGAGATTTTATTTCACTTCCTTTCTTATTGTAAAAACTTCGTGGGCTTCTTCTTGAAGACCGAGGAAAAACAAATTCTGTCGACTGAAGAGGGTGAAATTTTATTATTGGTGAATTTCTATGCCCTCTTGTGAAGCCAGCTCGCGCGCCATTTTCATTTTCACGCCCTTGAACAGACTTCAGTGTGTAACATATTGCAAATTTTCCACGCCATTAGCGGTTTAACGACAGTTACTGTTATATCAGACGAGGATACCGTTATACAAGAACTATTCCGATTTTTTTGACCCCAATATTTTCTTTTCAGATTTACAGGGCGCTTTGAAAGCAGACGTGGGACGTCGTGAGTTTGTTTGCTCATTGTACACAGTATAAAGGTAATGAGAAAGACTTCAGTCTCTGCTTTTGTATAAAAATGAACTTTTTGACAAGTATAAGGCCAACGTGGGCATACAATGCATTAAACATTATGCCTCCATACGGTGGGTCAATGTTGTGCCCGAGTTTTATGTTTATCGAAACGTTTCGATCAATCTCTTGAGAAGAAACGGTGCTCGAGGTCTTGGACCTTTATCTGCTTAAATCTTGAATGAAGTATAATTATCTTGGCATCATACGTTAGGCTAGTCGCTGCAACTTTGGTTGAAATGAAAAGTACAATAACAATAATTTTCTTGGAATCTGTATAAGTAATTAAAGAAATGGCTTTCTTGGAAAGTCACGCAAGATTGATTTCATTTTGTGTTTTTTTTTCCCTTATTCGCAAACTGGATCAGTTTGATCATGTACCTCTATCTGGATGCCGATCTATACATGTAAGAATTTTTCAAATGAAATCGGTAGGACTGATTTTATTTGGCTCGCTGAAAAACGTAGTTATTTTTTTTAGAAAGGCGTTATTGATCACTGGTATATGTTTCAGTTTCAGGCCTGAAAATGGAAAACATCTGCACACGCTTGCTGAAGAAAAGTTGGAGTAACTACAACGTAGGCCTAATTCCCCACGTAGAGGGGATCTATGTTATAGGGACCACCCATCCCCGCACCAGTACAGAGGTAGTGTATGTTGGTAGAAGCAACGATATTCATCGGAGGATGGTGGAGCACAAAAGACAAGACTTGGCCGTAGACAAGTTCGTCAAGAAGAATTTCACAGAAAATGGTGGAATTCATTTGCGTGTAAAATGGATTGAGGAACATGACCAGAGGAGAAACGAAAGTGATTATATCCGCTGTGTAGCCAATAAATTGGGGTACTGGCCAAGGTTCAATATAAATGGCTGAATCAGGTTTCGTTATTACTGAACATAAGGAGTCTGTAAAAAAATGTTCTAAGACAGGAAGATAGCTTGTACTGTAAAGTAACAGTCATCGTGGTACTATTTTCAGAAGTGAATCAATAAAGCCATTATAAAGGTTAAGAAAAAAAGTTGCGTGAATGAAATACGTTAGAAGGTGTAAAATATAACTCTTAAAAACCTTTGCTTTGCGGTGTAAAACTGAATAAACTGTGAAAACTGTTGCTCATTGGCGTAGTTGTCTCGACCTGACGTATCACGCCTCACGTCTTGTTGAAACAGCCTGTACATACTGATAGTTTCTAGTGGATTTGCAAACTTTCTTTATTCCCCTTTTTAACAGAGAACCAAAATCAACAGAAAGGCTGGTCTTTGGCAACGCGACGGGCACAAGCAAGGTCAAATTCGTATAATATTCTGAGCTTACCGTCATTGATGTAAGCAATTTATTTATTCATTTTTTATTTATTTATTGTGCTCCTGCTCTTTACCACTCGCTTTGCGTTTCGTCAAAATTTCCTGCAATTTCGGCGTAAATATATAAATGGAACGCTTCTGTCTAGGAGGAAACTTTCCGGAAAAAGTGGTTGGTCGGTCCACCTCCAGAGGAAGTCCTTAGTCTTTAAGAGGTCGGTCCTGTCTGACCAGTCCCTTTTGTGCAGGTAATAGCATGATTTGTAGTGATATTTGGCATACGAGAGATATTTCGAAATCGTTATACGTAGTTTTACTAGCCGTTAGGAGAGTGAAATTTTAGACAATTTTGAAATATCATGTACAAATCATGCTATTATTTGTTTATAGCGGAGCTCCCGCGCTCACGAAGCGCGCGCCAGCGGAGCACCATGGGTAAGTAAATCTACCCATCCCAGAAAGCTGGTAATCACGTGACCGTAGACCGACCGAGCGACCGTCCGTCCGCACCACAGGCATACCAAGGCAAAATAACTCAATCAACAGGTATGGTAACCCAAATGCAACTCGAGGTTATTTTTGATGGAAATCGCATCGCGCCCACCCGCGTCACAACTTAAGAGTCAATAAAGACGAAAACGGAAAGCGAAAATTGTTTCTGTATCGGTGTTGTCTAAAGTATTAAGCTTAGAGTAATTGTCATGCCCACAAATTTGGAATATAGAGCGAGAGAAAGACAGAGAAAAAGAGGAAGTATGCGGAAGGCCAGCGAAGCTCAACGAGAAAAAGAGCGACAGAGATCTAAAGCGAGAGATAATAATAAAAAAAGGAGACATTTTTTGGTTGGAGGAACAACATGAAAATTTTGTCGCGGCGGTGACAAAATGGGAAATGCTAACGGCCACCAATGCAAGGTGAAAATGAGCGACAGTGAAAAAAAGTGAACGAGAACACGTACAACATTTTTTCCATAAAACGTTTAACTAAGAAGTTTCTGGAATATATAGTTTCACGTCGTTGTCGTGCAAAACAAAGGCAAAGAAATGTACAAAAAAAGTGTGCTGCACATGCAAAGTTGCTTTTTTGCTAATTAGACCTATTGTTGCTTTTTCACCGTTCTCGTTGCCTTCGCCACCTAGCATTACACGATTTTATATTTTGCTTGAAAAAACTTTAAATATTATCGAGAGCTTCCCGTTTAGCCCTGGCTAAATCTATATATTTAACAATTATTCCTCGAGCCCGAATGGGCTCTGAGTCAATAGCTCAATAGCTCAATCACGGCTCAATCCAGCTAGTTGGTCAAAAATATCGAGACAAAACAACTTTAGCTAATTAAACTACAATTTAATCCTTTTTTGCCGCCAAAAAGCCGGCGCTTTTCGCTACTAGTGGGCTATAACATATAGCCTAGTAGTACTTCAACCAATCAGAACGCAGCATTGATAATAGACCACTAGTTGGATTTTCTAATAGACTTTATACTACTACCCGCAAAAGGTTTGTAATTTTGACATGTAGGTATTTCAAATTAAGCTGAAATACCGCTGCTCTAAGCCAATAAAATTGCAGAAATTTCTCATGTAGTAGTATAACTCTGAGGATTAATCAAAATTTTGGTCGAAATACAAGTAAAATGCTGCAGTGCGGTGGCAAACTTTGTTTCAACAGAAACATTTCGTTCATTTTCACTTGGGTTAATTATAGTTCCACCGGTTTTTGACCTGTCGGTTTGGCATAATCATCCCCAACAAGATTTCTCCCGTTGTTCTTCGTTTTGAAAAGAGAGTGGGAAATACGACCAGGACGACGTTATACTTAAAAATGTGCTACGTCAACCGCCTGCCCGAAACGCCACTCTCAATCAAGCCAATAAGACGTAGAGAAACGAACGAAATACAGTATAAAACCCGCGACTAAGAACCTGATAGGCTAGAATTGGAAACAGGTTCTTATTTTCTAAAATCTATTTTAAAAAAAAGCTCTGTACACTTGGGCAAATAAGATAAGTCAAAATTCAGGATCCTTTTTGGAGACATAGGTGCCTTATTACTCCAACTGCAATTTTAAGAATGTATACCGCCAGGTTTTACCTAAGAAACGAGCTGAATACCGCTAAGTACTCTTCAATTATTTACAATTCAATTTATTTCTTTTGAAAAATAAGAGCTTATTTAAGAACATGAATAGCTTAAATTTTTGCTAATTACCAAATTGTGTGGAAACCTGTTTAGGATAACTTAGGAAAATTCAGGTTCTTCGTCGCGGGTATATTGCGCATCATTACGTGGCTGTTACATGAAAAGTTTCGTTTAGAAAACATTTCTCTTTAGACGTAGGGAAATGCCCCTTACTTGAATTAAAGAAAAAGCGACAAAAACCCCTGGCGGAGTTTCCGAGTTGTCCAATACTGTCGACATGATACGAGTGGACGGATGCAGTTCTCGAATGGACAGTTGTCCGCTCGTACAAGTTGTGAAAAGTATTTTTCCACTCGTACCATGTCATTGTCGACAGTACTGCGCATGACTGGATCGATACCTCGCTAGCAAACTTTTCTTCCGTAATATGTATAATGAGAAATGGGGTTACAAGTTTATCATGCAATGCAAGGATTTGATTTACTTTTGAACATAGTACATATTTTAGATTTACATTTGATCCAGATTTGACTTGGATTTGATGTACTGACTTTAGCCGTCCAGCATAAGTTAAAACTGAAAACTCATGTTTTGATTTCTGTTGATCCGGAATTGTCCCTGTTAGCCCCGAAAATTTTAGTAAGAATTTTACTTTATTTTATTTTATTAGCTTCGCCTGTTACTGAACAATGAATAACAAATAAATGCTTAATAGGCAGGGGTGCCACAACAGCGGTGAGCCAGTTACAGTGGTCCCAGAGCTTAAAAGATATGTAAGAAACAGTAAAAGTTCATGTGACAATTAAAAACAACAACGCGGAGACGGACAGACACGTCGTGAAACGTTACATGACAGACAGATTGTTTTCGTCAGAGGCGCAGGATGTATAATTAGTAACAAAAAGGCTTGGGACCAGATTCCGCAAAAGAGGAAATAGGCGAAAAATTGGCGAGGGCAGAAGCTCTTAGAGAGGGAGAAAAGAAATTCAGCGAGCGAAAGCGAGAAGAGCGGTAGTCTGGGGAGGGGAAAGGGTCCATCAGCACTCGACTCGTTTCCTTCGCCAATTTTTACTGTTTCATCCCCGCCATTTTTCACCTTTCTGATCCTTTCTTCCCACTACGGAGCCTGGAATGGGCAGGTACCAGGCCAGTAATGAAACGTTACACCTTTCAAGCGTAGTCAGATGACTTCATCTTGAGTCCATCCTCGATTGTTTCAGGTCATAACATAATAATCCTCGAGGATTTTGATTTCCTCTTTTACTTTCAATTTCTCGGATACAACTGACGAGTCTGTGAGCCATCTGTTGTTAACAGCGATTTTTTTCTCTTTCTGGGTATAAAAAGGTTTGTATCAAGCGTAAATGTGATAACATTACGTATAAATACGATATTTTCGTAAGTATGGGCAATTTCGTAACTCTTCTGTCTGCAGAGCTCTTCCTTTACAAAATCTAAAATTCATGTTTCGACAAAGACTCTTGAACATGCATCTAGAAGGTTCTTGCAGAAATCTCTCCTGTGGTTCTCCCTATGAACCTAAGTAATTCAGCGACGACCAGAAATAAGTCTTCATTCGCAATCTAAACGGGCCATGACCGATTATGAATGCTTTTCGTGACATTCATGCTACAATGTAGTTCATTTCTCTTTTGAATTGCGTTACAAAAAAGAAATAGAGAGAACAAGAGCCATTACGGCTCTTGAAAGAACAAAAAAGGGCTAAAAATATGAGGTTGCGGGTGAAAGAGAAGCTTATAGGCAGAAGGGCTAAAAATGGATTTTTTTGTTTTCTTGCATATTAGTCTGCTACACAGCCGTTTTTAGTGTCGACGCTAAAACGACTGTGTAGCAGACTACTTGCATATGGGCCTCCCATAAACCATTACTAGAATAAAAAAAATGGTCCTTTTAAACCTTATAGGCACATAATGGTGAAGCTACATAATTGTCTAGTGGAAATCACCAATGAGACGCAATTCGCAATGACGTATATGCTGGATTGGTATGACAGTGGACGAGTCGCGGACGGTTTCACATGGCCTCCAACTATTAACGCAAACGATCATCAAACAGTCCTCAGCTATGAAAGAGACGGCGCTTTGGCGGGATGTTCAGGGTACGTTACCTATAACATGAATGACACCGAGGTCACAATTGCCTTCTCCAATCCAGATATAGGATCCAATAAGCTTGGAGTGGGGACCGGAGGAAAGGAGGTCTGGGATGAGATGGAAAGCCATGAGTACGAAGATTTTACTCAAACCATAGTTTGCGATAATGGGGTGATTTTGTTGTGCTACTGCAAGTGCACNAGGAAAGGAGGTCTGGGATGAGATGGAAAGCCATGAGTACGAAGATTTTACTCAAACCATAGTTTGCGATAATGGGGTGATTTTGTTGTGCTACTGCAAGTGCACCGGTGGAACAACCAACACTTGTACTGCCAACCTGACTAGAATAAAACAGTAGAGAATGTTCACAGATGTAAATAGGGAGCTTTTATTAGGGAGCTTAAGCAACGACTACGGCGACGGCAACGAGAACGGCAAAAGCAATGGGCTTTGATTGGCAGAACAACAACTTTTCACGTGCATCACGCTTTTTTGTTTATTTCTTAGCCGTCGTTGCACGACCACAAAGTGAAAGTGCCTAATTTCACGTTTTTTCGAGGACGGGAACACAAAACAACAACTTTAGAAATTAACTCCAAAAACATTGCCAGCATTTGACGAATTAAACGATGTAAGTTTTAATGGTACTGTTCGCTTTCTTACAACACCAATATGGTGTGTTCTTGCGATCAATTCTTGGCCTAAGTAGCATCCCTTGTGAAAAGACACTCCGTTTAAATATCCTACGTTATACTCCAGAGGCATCGCATTTCCTGGTGGTATTTCATCCACCCCTTTATCACAAACTCCAAACTTGGATCTATGTACGTCATGATCAAAAGTATTTCTAGTTTCGTACATATCGTCATGTAATAAGCGCGATAAAGTTTGAGGCAGCGCGAGTTCACATTTGAAGTGACGTTTTCGAAGCCGTCGCCGTTGTTGTTGCTTAAGCTCCCTATTAGAACAACAACGGCGACGGCAACGAGAACGACAAAACAACAACTTGCTTTGTACGTGTATAACGTTTTTTGTTCATTTCTTGCCGTCGTTGCGTGACTACTACGTCAAACTTCCCAAATTCACGTTTTATGAAGGACGTGAACACAAGAAAATGACTTGTTTTTTCTTTTCCTTAACTTAGATGGAAGCCGAAGGAATTCAACTTCAGAAAAATTTGCCAACATTTGACAAATATTAGGAGATGGAATAAGAGCGAAGAAGCCAAAGCAGCGCGAATTCACTCTTTGTGTGACGTTTTCCCTGCCATCGCCGTTGTAGGTGCTAAAGTTCCCCCATTTTGGGCGACACCAATAGCCTTCGTACATTATGCTAACATTTTTTCGAACATAATAAACAGTTCATAATGCAACGTGATTCAATGTATAGCCCACTTGGTTAGTTCCTGAGTCTTTGAGAAGTATCGTCTATTTGAATGATTTGTTAGAATTAGTAGTAGTTCTTTGAAGTAGGAAAGTTCTGGGATAAAAGTTGACCTTGAGTTTTACCTATACTGAAGTAACTGTTTTGTATGCTTGGTCCTAGCGAGCAGTTTTACCGCTAGCATTAAATTGGTTGTTCGGTACTTGTCAATGTAGAAAATCAGTTCTGTGAAGTGTTGTTTGCTTTGAAAATATCCGGTTACCTTTTTCTAGCTTCACACCTTATGTCTTTCGCGCCACACGAGTATAAACTGAAGATACTCTTATTTTTGAAAATTGTTAGCTTCTAGTGCAGTTAACTTTCTGCAGAACTAGTTAGATCAAAATTGACCGATGTCTTGCGATATCATAATTTTGGTTATCGTTGCGATTTTTTTTATATTTATGCTTATAGGAAAATGGATCCTGAACGCAGCATTCGTTTCATAGTACATTGGTATTTTCTGGTGCAGAAATTTTTTTTTTTTAGGTGCAGCCGTATTTGACTAGACTGTACTGCGCTGCAATCACATTGTATGTATAGACTGTTTCAAGAAAAACAAGGATATTCTCAAAGCAATGCGTAACCCTCCGTACGGAGCTACTTTCCTCAGAGAGCGCATATGATTATATAGTAATGCACACCCACTCTGGTAAAATGGTAGCAGAGGAGATGCAGTAAACTCATTATGTTTCGGCGTCGCAATCGTTTATTTAACCATCAACATTATTTTGCATTATTAAACTAGTTAACTGATTAAGAAAGTTCCTAAAAGTAAAGCGTAAAATCTTCCTTCCGTCCGCATCGAGGAAGATGCTCAATAAGCGAGGAGGAATGTCACGAAGTAGTTGCTGTTAGTTTGTTTGTGAGTTTTGGTTTATTTAAGGTTTCTCTTTTGTTAAGGGTATCCAAATGATTACTTTGTAGTACGTGCTAGTTTCTTAATAAACAGTTCATACTCCAGTGAAAATTCAATGTATAACCCACATGGTTAGTTCCTGAGTTTTTGAGAAGTATCGTCTATTTGAAGGATTTGTTAAAATTAGTTGTAGTTCTTTGAAGTAAGCATGTCCAGGGATAAAAGTTGACCTTGAGTATTACCTCCATTGATGTTCCTGTTTTGTATGCTTGGTCCTAACGAGCAGTTTTACCGCTAGCATTCAATTGGTTCTTTAATTGGTACTTGTCAATTTCGACAGCGTAGACTATTTTATTCTCCACAATCTTGGAGCTCAAGAGAGTGTTCACTTAGAACAATTCCCCTATCTCCAAGTTAAACTGATAAGCTCTTGGGCACATCAGTTTGCCAGCCTTAGACTTAGTGACTTTTAAGTCACTTAAAGCTCGTCAGTAGTCCATCAACCCTTCCACGACTGCTTTGGTCGTTTCCGTTCCATATGGAACGATGCATATTTTTCTTCCTGGACCCATTTAGCTTTCCTTTTAAGTTAATAAACTGGTGAGCATTAAGGTCAGCAAAGACAGATCTTTTCAGCAATGCCTAGTCATGGATATTCTGACTAACCCTGACATAGTTACTCTCAAGAAAAAAGGTAACATTTTGAGAAGAAATCCACTGCCAATTTTGCTGTTTACCTACGACGCTTTGAATATTAAATTTGTTCCTTTCCTAAAAAGTTGGCCAGCCACAATTCCGAGCAAAAAAGACGATACTTGAAGTGGGCAACAAAACTGCTAATGAGAAGAAAGGCAAAGGAAAAAAAGAGACTGTTTCCCGTCACCTTTATGCGAAATTCTGAGAACAGTCCATCAAAACATATAGTCAGAATAAAAGCAAACCAAAGACACAACGCTCTTTAAAGGTCATAAAACAGTAGAATCGGGTAAATCCTTGGGTAAACTCTGGAATTTCCTGTAATCCTCTTTTTTGGCTGCACGCCTTGTTTGTTTGCAAATTTGACTTTGACTTTCCTTTAAACTAGACATTTGTACCATTTAACCTGAGCGCTCTCGGCCAAGCACAGAATTTCTTCGTATACGTATTGAAAAACTCCGAGTTTTGCACAATTAACTGGGCTAACTCCCCGCGCGTGCGTGATCGATTGTTATGCTTTTCCTAATTTGTGTCTCTGCCAATTCAGTAAGCATGATTGATGTTAGCATAAGCGGGTTTCGATAACCCTTGAAAGTTCACAGTTCGCTTAAACATGAGCACCTTTTTATGCAAACAACACGAGTTTTACTGAAAGAAACACTGATGTGAGGGGGGAAAGTAAAGTCTATCAAGTATACAATGTGATGTTTTAACTGTGAAAACGGGTCAATTTTTGAGCTTCGAGATAATATGATGAATAACATGAACCGAAACAATTTAAGTTCGTGTCATTAGCACTTTGACCCTGTATAAAATTACGGTAAAGAAATGTTATCCACCTTTTGATCTATTAATGTTTGTTTGAGTACTCGATGGAAAGAAGAGGCCATCGATAAAACCAGGAACACGGAACATTCCGGAGCATCCCGGAACATGAAAAAATAAAAATAACTTTCATGAAAAAAAAAATATATAATAAAATAATAATAATAAAATAATTTTTGTAAAAATTAATAATCACGTAAAATAACAAAAGAAAAACGAAAAATAATGAAATAATCAAGAAAAAGAAACTGGTATCCTCCCTGAGTATGAGAAAACAATATTTTGTGGCAACAAATTAAAATTTGTTGGGCGAGTGAGGGTTCATGCAAAAGACAGTAACGAGTGAAGGTTTGCTTCTAAATTAATTAAAATGGGTCGCGAGGAGGGGGGGGGGGTTAAGCTTTCCTCACACAGCTACCTCTTGTAATTGTTTGCCGTGAGTTAATCATTTGGCGGTTATTCATTTACGGTTCTGCGATGGTCTTAAATATCGGTGCAGTATTTCATGTCAAGCCAAGTCGGTAAGTAGCTCATTTCAAGCCAACATATAGTTTCCTTAAAATATATAACCGACATTTGCTTACTTGAGGTGCTTTGCTTTACTTGAACATGAATTACTTACAGACTAGGTGGCTCTGTGAACTTAAGAAAAGTAAAGAGGCTCCTGTCTTTGGATTTTAGTGGACAATACTCACATTCGTAGTAGTTTCTATACTGTTTACAGTCAACATGATGTTTCAGACGTCTCCTCGAGTCGCAAGAGGAGTTTGCGGGGAGACGGCTAAATTTCAGGCTAACTGATAACAGTTAGAAACTACCGCTGCGCTACCACTGCCACTGCAACTATCCAGCGAATGTGATTCTTTAATTTAATTGGCGTTATTTCCTGGCTTCGAATACAGCTTTCGTTTGCTATTTTAAGAACTGTACACAGATGCGTCAGAGGTTCTAGATATCCATTCAAATCACGTGAGGTCTCAGAAGATTTCACTCTCGCTGTAGCTGGTCTACAACTGTATTCATAATTTTATGGCCTAGATTTTTGATGGTTTTTTTTTATTTTTATTTTTAATTTGAAATGAAATGTCTTTATCTCGAATAAATTTTTCTTAGTTAAATTAACTTCTTTCTAAATTTTTAAAAAATTATTATTATTATTATTTTTATTATATTATAATTATTATTAAATGAGTTTTTATTTTTATTATTATGAAATGAGTTTTTTTTTAATTGAAATGAACAGGAGCTTATGAAATGAAATGACTTGTAAATAGGTTTAATAATTAGTTTTGTTATCATTATTTTTTCATAAAAAAATATTTTAATTTTTTCATGTTCCGGGATGTTCCGAAATGTTCCGGAATGTTCCGGGATGTTCCATGTTCCTGGTTTTATCGACGCCGGAAAATAAACTGTGAGTAATCTTTAAACTTTTCGAGGTCGCAAATTGCAAACAAACTAATTCCTTTTTAAAAGGTTATAGAAGGACAAGAAATTAAAAGGAATGAATCTTGAAACGTATAAATATTTTTATCTTGTGGCACAATGTGTTTTCGTGTTGACCATAAATTATATCATCTACTGATCATCTCTATCGGCCGAGCTATAAAATGGGAAGAGTTTATTGGGATCGAGAGATATGAGCAAATCGCTGGGGAAGACAGACCCGTTTTCTCTTTTTACCGTCCCAAATACTTTGCAGTTAAGTATGGATATACCTAGATTTACGATATACGTAGCCTTTCAGGACTGTCATTTCTTAGGTGAAGTTTGTTCATTTAAACTTTTTTATTCGGAAGCCCGAGCTCACGCAGTTTATGTATAACGGGTTTCCAACAAATAATCTCTATATGGTTGTCCACAGATTTGCTTGGGATTTTAAGGTCACAGAATTCCTAGGATTCTTGTCACGCAATGGTCGGCGACAAGGTTATTTTATAGGCTGTGTAGAACCGCTTTCTCCCCTCAGAAAAAAATGGAGAAGGGGCAATTTTTTTTCTGAGAGTAGGGGGGCGGCTGTACAGTATTATGGCAGCCCAGTTAAAATCGTCTTTCGGCAAGTCTAGTTAAGGTATCGCAACGACAACATTTTAACATTTTTTTCGTCCTCAAAATCCATCTTCAATAAGATTAGGTCATGAAATATGCATATCTAGCTTTATTTTTTCAATTTACGGGTCTCTGTATCAAAGAAAAATCGCCTCAAAAGTTGCTAACACTGCTTATCTTATTGTTTAAGTTAAAGTTTCTTTTTGTGTGTGTGTTTGCTTGATATGGGACTCATACAACAGGGGCACCCAACGTCAATTTTCGGAAAATATCTGTTCGGAAGACGATTTCAGGTCTAGAATTTTCGGAACATTTGTTGCAAAATTTCTTGCTTACCTGCCTCTCCTAGGGTTTTCGAACATCTGAAAAATGGTATAATTGCCCATTTTTAACGGATTTTTACCCTAAAAAGGTCACCTAGAATTTTCGGGAGCCTTTTCCTGGCTGAAATTTTCGAAAAGGTGACTTTTGATCTCTAGACTTTCAACTAGGAAATCCGAACAGATAAAAAAAACTTTTAGGGGATAAAAATAGGCCTTTATCTACCGTTTAAATACTAAATTACGTTTAACAATGCTATGTTTAAGTGGTTTTGAACTATATTCTAGTGGGGTGCGCCTGATATAAGTGAAGCCGAGGACGCCCTATGAGCAGAATCCTTTAAACTTTGCAGGCACATAATGGTGAAGGGGCACAATTGTCTAGTGGAAATCACCAATGACACGCCCATTCCCATTCCTCTTAGTGCAAGTGGCCTATTGCCTTTGAAAATCCTTATACGGGATCCAACAAGCTCAGAGTAGGCACCGGAGAAGAGAGCTTCTGGAAAAACATGGAAAAACATGGTTCACGGCAAAGAGTTTACTGAAACCATAGTTTGCAATAATGGGCAGCGCTTGTTGTGCTACTGCAAGTGCACCGGTGGAACAACCAACACTTGTACTGTCATCCTGAGAAAATTATAGGTGAGAACTGAGTAATTGCACATTGTTGTGATAAGAGCTATTCTCTTTCTCTTAGAAAAAAGGAACCAAACTTGATGTATAGGATTTTAAAATAGAGGACGTTGTTGTAGAATCTCAGTGGTAGAGCTCAGATTAGTGTTACTGTAGGTGTATGAAAACACAGATTCATTGTGGAGTTGTCATTTTACAAAACATCATGCGTGAAAAATAAAGAAAGAAAAGCTTGAAAGTTATCTTTTATTGCGAAGTTGTGTTTTTCTCGTCCTTTAAAGACAGCACGTAAAAAAATATTTCTGGTCATAAAACGGGTACTCTACTTTTAACCAAACAAAATTACTGTTTAACAAATAGATTCCATGTTGCCGTGCCTCTGTTCAGTAATAGATCACAGATGACGTCAAAATGTCGTAAAAACAAAGAAGTGGCACACGAGCCGCAGGCGAGTGTGTCACTGTTGTTTTTACCACATTTTGACGTCCTCTGTGATCTATTACTGAACAGACCCACGGCAACATGGAATCTATTTGTTTTATACAATGATCAGAAAAGAAAAAGACCGATACACATACCTGCCTGGAACCGCTTGACCTTTTGAGGATTTGTGCTAGTTTAGGCATTTTTTAAGTCCCAAACCCAACTTTTCATCTTAGCTTCTTTTTTATCTTACTTGTGTACAGTTTCTTCGAAAAGTTTTTCACCGTCTTTTCTTGCTCAAAGAAGAATAATAGCGAAAACATTTTGCAAAACAGCGAGTCTCTCGTAGCGAAGACACACAATGGCAACTGTTGTGAAGATTTCTTGTAGTTTAGGCATTGTCAAGTAGTCAATAGCTTTTTTGGTCTCCGTTTCTCCGTTTTTCTTCTTTGTAAATAGCTCCTGCTAAACTTTTTCCGAAGCTTTCACTTGCCTCAATCCGTAATAATGTCACAAACATTTTCAAAACCGCGTGCCATGTTGAACATAACAAAGAAAACAAGTTTCCCGTGACGTCATCCATGTATCTGTACTCTAATAGATCATGGGCAACGACCAATCACAGCGCGCGTAGCATTCACATCATTGTATAAATTCAGATAGAAAATACAGTGGAAACGGGTCAATACGGACACGAAGGGGGCATGCCATAATCTCCGTATTATCCCAGTGCTCGATATTAAACGGGATGTCAGAAAAAAAAACGTCTCGGATACATGTCATTTTAAAGATATAAAGAAACAGACATTTTTACGTGAAAACTAGTTTTTTTTTAAATGTTGAGAAACAAAAAATTCTATAAAAGCCCCATGGGCCGTTTAAACATCATTGGCTCACCCTTAGTGACGTATGGCTCGCCAGGAGTCCCCTTAACATTTCATAACTTGACAATCTGTGAGAAAAAGCATGATGGCCACAAGGAATTCACAGATGGCAGATTGAAAATAATACCTGAATACCGCTGTGGATATAAAGTAAATAGCTGTAAGACAAGATGAAAACATGCCCTGATTGCCACAAGATCTCTTTGTGCTATCCGTAAGATACAAAGTAGGTAGGAGTTTATAGGCTGACCCCTACACAACTTGAAACTACTGATTACTAGGCCAACAAAATCAACGAAAACGGGAGAGGGAGCGAACAGCGATCACGCGGTCGAAAATACATTGATTGGTCAAGTTAATTAGTGAGTGAAACTAATCAGATATTACATGCAATGCGACTGAAAAAGCTAAATAAAAACGAATAGTGATATTCCGTGGGGTTATTATTTTTCTTCGAAAATAGATTTGCAGAGGATCTTTGTGGATATGCAACAAAGCAACTTAAAGAATTGTTGATAGCAATTGTGGGAGCAAATCATTAAACCATTTCATGCCCCAGTTTTTATTGTGTTTTTCCTATAGTGAAAAGTCTTACCATATTAAAGAATGAGCTTTAAAATTCAAAGAAGACACTCACACTAAACAATCAACCCTCGAATAAATGAGCAAAAAATAATTTAAGGAAACAATAGTTCTTTAATAAAAGATAATCTATTTCAAACTACACGGTGAAAAAGGGATGAACCCTTTCAATGTCAAACTTAATGAGTGGGCTGTATATGCTTGATATCCAGATTCCACACTGTTTCTTTTGGTTAGTGTATAACTAGCCATATCGGTAGCTGAAGATAATCTACTGTTAGGTAAGGGAAATGTCTCAATATTTTCCGAAAATTTAGTACTCATTTTAAAGTAACTTAATTGAACTTTTTGAACATGTAAGTTCTTCTATATTCTCTTTTCAACGAGTTAACTGATAAAATAATAATAGAAAGATAACAAAATGTTTAGAGAAAATTTGCCCTCCATCTTTCTCATGTTAAATATAACTTATTTTATTCATTTATTCGCTTTCTCAAGCAATTTTTTCCTAACTCAAATGAAAACGCGTACTATAGAGAAAAAAAGAAGAAAATTTTTAAGAACAAGATTTTTTATGTAATATTTCAACACTAAAAAGCCTGTGCTTCATCAAGATTTCCCTTTAATTACATGGTACGGGTGAAAAACGTAAGACAAAAACAAAACTGAATTCAGTGGTACCTCGATATAACGAAGGGCTAAGGGACTGGCAAAATTTGTTAACTTTAACGAGGTTTCGTTATATCGACGTTCTTTTCCATATATTTTACTCTGGGTACTCTGGTTTTCTGGTTTTTCAAAAGAGATATAAGACAATTAAATTAAGAGGCGAATATTTTGTTTGTTTTTTGTTTTCAAGATATTCTTTTCAAACTTTTAACTTAAGGAACATTGTACGATAGGCCATCGTTTAGAAACCGCCAGTCGCTGTTAGCTTGTTTGTTTAAGTACCGAGATCATATCTTGAATTACATTTTAATATGTTTATTTATCAGATCAAGAGGGTCTTATGTATTTTTGAAATTACAGGAACGTAGAACTCTCTCCAGTTGCAATGTATTTTAAAGTGCTCTGTATGGTTTGTATATTCGTTTTCAAATGGAGGTGCCGCGGCGAAACAGTTGACCAATGCCCAGCACAGGAAACAATTTCCAACCACGCCCTAAAAGGTTATACGTTCAAGACGATAAAAGTCTCGAGTCCGTTTGAATGTCTATATCATTGCCATTACGAAGACAGATGCCAGAGTTATAACTACTTGAATGCCGAGGATATTTGCGAGATGAATAACCGAACCAAGGAAGCAAAGCCAAATCAATTTGTGCCTGACCAACGGCGGCTCTACAAGAAACGCAGGGCTCACAGAGGTGATGTGATCATTTATCTCCGATAACTTTTGTTCTGCGCAAATTAATAAACGATTTTAAGTAAGAAATAGTTTAATTATTGAAAAAACTAGTATTCGAGAACCAAATTTTAAACTTAAAACAGTACTGACTTACCCTTACGGAGAGTGATAGAAAAAATAAAGTACGAAAACAAAAATCAAGTGGCGAATTACATTATTCACCACTTGATTTTCAAAATTTGATATTTTTAAAGGATTTTACTGATCCAGGTCTACTAAAAATCCGGCTGACCCTCACTAGTTTGTCGTTGTGGTTTTGCCTTCACAAGTGTTTCTAGTATTCGAGAGTGACTTCTTTTTTGGAACACTCTAGCATTTATGACACTGATCGGAGTTAAGCAACATAGTTGGTGACAGTTGTGCCAGCCTTGCCTTGTCCCTAGGCCTCATTATTCCGCGTAGCCTATGCGTTTCGGGTCACGTGGTCCTAGCTTGTTTTTGGCTTCGTCTCGGAAGTACCAACCGAGAAGGCCTGGGAAGCCCTACACGGACAGGGAAAGTGACAGCCAAGTCTATAGGCGTTCTCGGCTCGGTCAGACCTGGAAACTACCGTGGGCTGTGACGTCACCGAGAGAGACTCGACTCGACTCGATGTCGACTCAATCTCTCTCCCACCTTTTCCCAAACTTCGCGCGGACAAAGGGCAAGAGAGAATGCCTAAGAACTAGGTTGAATTAGTGAGTATTTTAGATGAAGATCTCCCCCCCCCCCCTCCTATGTTGCTCTTCACAGTTGTCCTCGGCTCCACTCCCTTGCTGCCTGGTGAATCGTGCCGGGAAATCAAAGCAAATGAAGCGGGAGAAGTTGTCAGTGGTAGTTTCTGGTTGGATCCCAGGAGTTCAGGAGAGGCTGTACTGGCTTATTGTGACATGAACACAGAAGGTTTGAGACTCCTAATTTCTTTGTGTGTGTGATGTTCATGAAATTTCACACAAAACATTCTGGCCAGGGGTATTAGTTCCAAATAGTAACGGTAAAAAAGGAATGAAAGTTCCGGTCATAAATTTAGCCGAAATTTGAATTGGTTTTCCCCAGTCAAATTTTGCTCGTAGTCAAGAAAAACCTTCGATTATAATTGTAAAACTTAGCATGCGAGGTTTCCTAGACGAGACCATGGAAAAACGTCTTAAAGAAACCTTGCTTATGTAGATATGATGCCCCGTTAACTTTCATTATCAAAATGCTTTATCGTTAGTTGCAGATTTCTGCTTCCGACATCAATGCCAGAATGGTGCATCATGCATTAATACGTCCAAAAGCTACAGGTGTTTGTGTGACAGATTGTGGACTGGTAGCTACTGTGAAACAATTATTGTAACAGGTAACAAACGTTCTTCGTCCGTAAATTTAAAAAGTTACTTTTGCTACTTTTTCTACCACTCAATTACTCAGTGATGCTTAAATTTTTTAATAGTCTGAGGACAAACTTCTTTTCCAGCTATTATTTGAATTCTCTGCCATAGCCGACATTCAGTTAAAAGACACTGGTCAATTGTTTCAAAGTGTTAGAATCCATGTTCCGTTAATAATATTATTTTCCATCACCCCTATGAACTGGATTTTTAGGTCGCTTTTCGGTTCGGATTTTGAGACAAATGAGGTCTGACTAGAGCAAAAGGCACCTTCTATTCAACAGAAGGCTTTTATAATGAAGGAAAGTCTATTAGCAAGTCGTGCGAAGCGAACAAGGCCACTTTTGTAGACGCATCATCTTTTCGTTGCTCTATAACAAGTTTTTATGACCTAATTGTCAATGCCGACTCCGGCCAAGTTTATTTCCATTCCGTCTTCTGCTTTGGTCGCAAACGTCCAGCTTTTCTACAAAAACTAAATAGATATCTACCCTTGCGGCAAAATCCCCGTCGAAATCTACCTTAGCTCCAACGCGTGGGACACCTACAATGGTCGTAACCGCTCAATTAACATTTACAGCTAACCCTACTAACTGGATATCTACCCCGGCTGCAAAAACCCAGATGTTACCTACCGTGGCTCCCACGCAGGTTAAAACGGTCTTAGCTGCTCAACTGACGCCTTCAGCGGTCTCAACCACACAATTGACAGCTACCGCCACTCCAGGCATCCAGTCGACTGGAACTCCGGGCTTCAGGGTGACTGTTGTCACCAGCGCTGTTTTTGGAGCAGGTACAGACGCCTTATTATACATCGAGCTCAAGGGCACTGACGGAAGAAAATCGGGGATGACTGAGATAGTTAGCAAGCAGAAAGATTTCGAAAGAGGCAGGTAAGTTCAATAGGCCACTTTCGAGTTCCAAAAACCCTCACTTTCAAAATGAGGCTAGGTGTACAAGCTTTATTGTTAAAATGAGTTTTATTTGCAGGAGAATGAAAAATGATTTCCATATTAAAGGCTGAGCACCTACCCTCGTTTTGATACAGAGGCCCGGGGGAACTCGGAAATGGCTTATTCCGAGTGATAGACTCTGACTGGCAACCTTTCGGAGGGATGGGTGCTTTTAGATTGCAATACAGTGCTCGATGCAATTTATTCAGGCAACATATCTTTAATTCACGGCCAACGGGGATCAATTTATTCGAAGAATTCAGTTGAACAACTTCTTATAAGGCCCCGTCCACACAAATCCAAACATTTTTGAACCCGCACAATTTAACCCGCACTCTGAAGAGCAATCTCGTATCCACAGTCCTCCGCCTCTTTGGTCAGCGGGTGGTCGACTTTGGTACTTACGTCATGTATTTACAGAGTAACAAGCTAATAACGTAACAGAGTCAGACAAGGTGACATAGTAACAAAAGTAAGGACTAAAACACTGGAACAATGGCTACAATGGATTCAAGTAAAGTCGGTACAATATATGTCCCCATACATCAATTACCTACCAACTTTACGCAGCTATCCGCTGACCAAAGAGCCCGGGGAATTGTTTGAAGGGCGGTTTCAAATTTCAGTGGTATCGTGTGGACTTAAGGCCGATTCATATTACAGAATATGTGGTTAAAAAAAATAGCCGGAATCGTTTGGACGAGGCCTTAACTGGAAACCCTATTCGTCATTTTTTCCTTTTTCTTTTATTTGCGTGCCATCGTGAAATTACTTATAATTTTACATGGAAAGCTATCAAATAGAACGCAATAAAACGCAAATTCGTGAAGCGTTCCAGATTGTTTTTTCGTGCATATGATCATATTCATAAAGATATTTGCGCGCTAAAACGAATTTTTCAATTATTATTATTATTATTATTATTAACAAATTTTGTGATATAGTCTGAAAAATTTACATTCTGGTCATGACTTAATTCCTATTAAAAACCAAGCTACCTGAGTTTTGTCCGAATTTTGTTTTTCTAAGTATCATTTCAAAAAAGTCCACAGTATAACTCAGCAAAGACTTCTCCAGCCTTGAACCCGATGATTAAAAACCAACCCTCGATCATGTGCTTATGAAAAAATGCTTTCCTTAACTTCGTTTCTCTTCTTTTATTTGGATGACGTATCTGCTCGATGATTTTGGCAGTTTACTAACTATGGAATATTGAACTTAACATCTTAGCACGGATCACTTTACAGTGGAGTTTCAAGATGTAGGGATCATTAACCAAATTGCAATCGACTTGGTAACGACCTACAGCATCGGCGAGGGCTGGACAGTTGACGAGGTAGGCCTAATGAAACTATAAGCATATCGACAGGTAGCCCCGTTATTGCCGACATCCTCGGAACCACTTGAGAGGGCCGTTTAGCATCACTTCAGTATCAAAGGGCCAACGTCAGATTCAAGTTGACGACTTCGATTCTCACATTTGGATATAAGAGGATAAAAACTGGCCAAAATAATTCTTACTGGTGAATGGCATGAAACTACTCAGTACCTTATTGTGTAGGTGTACTCAACTTTACACGACAAGAGGAATATTTCGGCCACGTGATACAATTCGACGATCGCCGTAAAACATGCGGAAATGTAATGATTAGACTCGTTTATCTACTTCTTACCCAGAAAAATTTCATAAACGATTGATTGAAGTAACGAGCGTAACAGATATACCAGTCAGATTCGCAGTTGGTTCCTAGTAACCAGAGTTAGAAAAATAAATAGGAGAGACGGATTTAGAGCGATTTTCGTATGACCTTGAAAAATGGCTACGGTAAGTGTTCGTTATGTGTTTTAAGAGTCAAATGAAAAGATCAAAACATGGCCTTTTCATTTTCTCGCCAAAGAAAACCCTAATATGGTGAAGGCATTGTTCGATTGGCCAATCGTGTTGCAATATGACGTCAAAGAGAAGTATCGGTTAATTTCTAGAAAATTCTCGGGCAGCCGAGCGTTCGCTTAGGCCCGGTTCAGACGTCGCTCCACTCGTGTGCCGAACCTAACTGATGAATTAAGTACGGCAAAAGAGCGGCGTCTGAATCAATTTGGTGCGGCAGTTTTAGTTTGGTGCGGCAAAAGCGTAAAGTTCGACAGCGTCTGTCGAACTTTTGTCGAACTTAACTTAGGCTCGACACAAGGTGCGCCGTCTAAATCAGATGTCGCGCCAGTGTCGCTCCAACGACGAACTTATTCAATCAGGTTCGGCACATGAAAAGTACGGCGTCTGAACCAGGCCTTAACCGACCAAAAGCCAGGCGCGTTTGTATCCGTTCGATAAACCAATCAAATCGCTCTATTTCGGGTCGTTTGTTGTTTCTGTTTTGTTCGCGCGTTTTCATTTCAAGGTCATACGAAAATCGCTCAATTCGCAGGTTAGAACAATAAATGGTTCTCGCGGATCAAACAAAAGGTCTCTTGCAAGTCCAGCTAGGCCGATATAAGTTTGTACTCTAGCCTTTAAGTTAATGACTTTATACTTCTTATTAGTACGAATTATCCTTGATATAAGACACTTAAGTCGAGGATAGGACATCTTAACTCGTAAATTTTCTCTTGGTTACTTCTGACCAAACCACCCTTATAGAAGATGTAGTTTACGGTTTTTTGGCTCACTAGCCAAGTTTGAAGCCTTGTAAATACGGTCTGCCTGATTGGAACCATATTACAGCAAGAGAATGAATCAAGAGGCCTGAGGTAAAAAGCATGCCCTTGTCTTACTGGCTCATTCATCATGAAGGGAACAGAGGGAACCTTAAGGAGTTAAAACGCACGCAAAGGATCGGAGTCAGATAAGCCACTAGCACTCAGAACCTGGGGGTACTCCCTATAATATCGTATACGCCGCGGGAGGTTTTGTCTGAAAGGGGGAACTTTATCAGGCTTCAGGTATATGAGAGGGTGGGAATGTCATGAGCTGAAGTATAAAAAGTGTAGGGACAACTGTCATTTCGGGATGTAAAAGGAACCAGAAGGGCTAAAAGATTCATTCTATGGCTATGAAAAAGTCACGGAAACTTCCTAGTTTGGTGGTTTATTCATCTTTAAAAGACAGTACATTTACAGCAGTTAGAAGGGGTATCATTTGTCAATAGATGGCTCACGAAAGGGGTATATCATAGGGTAAGGGGTTGGACCTCGGGGTGGAGCCCCCCCGCATACCGTAAAACGTTTTTGTGTGCCCCACCTGGGACTTAGAGGACTTCAGATCGAGGAGATGAGCCAGGGCAAAATAGAAGGGAGTAGACTGCTAGCAGTCCCTCGGGGTTGTCCCGCAGGTGAGTATGTCACGTGCGAGTGAACGAGACTGAAACGGAGGAGAGGGTTTCTTCCTCTCTCTAGCTCCGTTCTCTCCAGTCCTACCAAACCTTGACTGGCCGAAAAGGGGGCTGGTAGCTGTCAAAGGAAGGAGATGTGGAATGAGATTCGGGTGAGAGGGTTTCTCTACCAGAAAGAAACTAGAATTATGAATCCCCGCCGTATGAACTACAAGAATCAATTTGTAGAAAGAGGTTAATCGTTTTGTTCTCCTTTGCCTCTTGCGCTTTGATCCTACTTTTTTCTACAACAGATAACTATTGTAGATCCAAGTCGTGAGAGGACCTATAAGTTCTACGGGCCGAGAGATGTTTACCCCCGAGACGATCCACTCGTTTTACAGGCGTCCTAAGAAAACGGCGCTTCTGGATTGAACCCGAGAAGCAGACATATTAAAGCCAGGAAAGCTCAAGTTTCTAAGCAATAGCTGCGCCTGCGCGAGAGACGACGTCGTGGACGCAACTTTTGCTTCCCGGTTTAATGGACACAGGAAAATCATAATGTTAATGAACCAAACTAAAACATTTTACTTTCCGGAGCAAATTTAGCTTCCGAAGCACGTGGCTTCTAATTTAGCCAGATTAAGATGTACACCGTTTCCGCTACAATGTTGTTTGATTTAGGTAGTTTTAATACAGCAGTTCACTGCGGCCTTCTTTGTCCTAATATGGCGTATGTACTTGTCCTGATATGGGCCACGAAAAAAATTGTTTGTACGATATTGGCCAAAAAAAAATATATGATTAGGTGTAATGGCATAATGGACAATATAATCCAACAAGTAGAGACTGGTCCTGACTGAAACTCCCAACATTGAGATTCTCGACTTTGTTTTAATCGACAAAGGACTCCCTGGTCATAAATTCACTAACAATATATCGACCTTGAAGTAAATTTGAGCGACATTGCCGCCAGCAGCCAGTTGTAAGCGCCAATTGTCACGTGACAATGGGTAACACGTCATAGATTTTGCAATGTTTTGTTTTCCGAGGGACCAGGCTTTAAGTGATGTGTTATAGCTGGAAATTCATTACACCTCGCTGTAACGGCGGTCATAGGTCAACATTTGCAGTTAACAGTGTACCGTTACCCTCTGACGTCGTAGATTTTTGCAATGCTCGAGCAAGAGTTTCATTGTTAGATGTCATGTGACCTCGAAGTAACCAATGCGCGCTATTGGGCAGAAATTTCCAGCTATATAACAATTGCCTTTGATTGCCCAAAGGTAGCCAATGACAAAATCTAGCGAGTTCTCAAGGCATGCAATTTATACTGACGCAGATGCAATGTGTTCAAATGGCGGATTTTCGAAAGTTTCTTCTCACAATATTTAGAGCAAGTGTTCAAAAGACCTTCAGGATAACAAGAAAAGTGTACACTTAGATGAAAACAGAGAGAACATCAGCGGAACGAATGGTCTTGGCCAAGCGTGATTTGTATAAGCAATCGCGCGCGCAAGCTCTTGACTCTCTATTACCTGTGCACACAGTTTGAAGGTTTTCCTCTTATAAAACAAACGATTAACGGCTAAGCGTTACTACAGAGTTATGGATGCATTTGGTACGCAGAGCCTCCTGCGACTCTTTCCCTTCTTTCCAGCTTAGCAATCCCCGGCGCAGCTCTCATCCATAACTTAATTGTACGCGCTGAGCTCGTAACCATTAGATGACTAGACTAAAAAAATTACCCCAGCTCTGCAGTTAACTGCATGAATAAACCATTGATTGCATACTAGCGAGAATGAGCGAGCTCATTCTCTGTTGTTGTATATAACCGGCTCAAAGCACAACAGTAAATATTGCATGTGACTACTATCGTATGGTGGAAATTGTTTACATTTCGCAAAGTCGCGCATCCTTTAGACAGAAACGATAACCTTTAATCTCATATATTTCCCACAGAACATGGCGCCCCTTGTACAACTTACCAAATATCGCGAAAGGTTTGCTTATCATTCCACTCAAGTTACTAACCGGTTTATTACAATGCTCGTTCCCCTGTATTATCCTTTGTGGATCCTAGCTTACTCTCAAGACTAATCCATCGTCCGCTTTAGGTTCTGAGATCAAGGCACGCACTAGTATAGCTTGCTTATTTTATAGACGATAAGGCAAGCTCCTGGCAAACTCCTGTTCATATAATACAGTTGCAGTTAAGTATATTACAATTAAGGTATTATCGCCTACAATAATATTAACGCGGGTTAGCTCGGACTTAGCATTGCATGGTCATTTTGATAATAAATAATTTTCTCCACTCTTCCATTCACTGAACAATAATAAAATACAGACATTCCAAAGAAAAATGTCCTTTCGTAAACAGATATTTGTACAACCTTTTGTGAATGTTCCACAAATTGACTGACGCGGTATCCTACGAGGCGCGGTGGCTGTACCCAGATCACGTCACGAAACAAACTGAACTCAGAGCTCGCTTCTTATGTCGTCCCGTGACATTAACTTCTTTATAGGGTTGCTTGTTGGACGGTGTCTAGTTTTCACTCGCAGGCTTAGGCGGTGATCAGCAAATTTTCTGTGGATAGACGTTAAAGACAAACAATTAGTCTCGTAAACTAGGTGTGAAAGATTGAAAAGATTAAAGAAATCTAGACTGTTCACAGACGTTCTTCTTATTTTGGACAATTTGGTGAGCGCGCGAGAACGATCACGAAGCGCGAGAAAAAACCAAAAAAGAGACAGAGAGGAAGAAAGAGGAAGGAAACACATTTTTTTTCATTTCCTTTCCCCACCCCCACTCCCACCCCCTTCCGCTTGCAGTCACCCGTGGATTCTATTTTCATACACGCTCGACGATCTCTAAAGAGAAAATAGAGGGTCTGTGAACGGGAAGAAGGAAATCAAACCTTACCAGGAAGGTCACATAAGGGCCACAAGGCATACATTTTGTATCGTCAGAAAGCGCAAGAAACAAAATACGTTTCAATGATGCACGAGTATGTCTGCTTATATAAATTCTGTACCATATGGTCAACCTCGTTCCCACAGGCTGCGATACTTTAGGTCAGTTACAAGAATCGACTTGGGTTACGAAGAATGGCTTAGTGGAGAGTTCAAGCTTCACGTATACGGCAAGCGTCAAACGTCTGATTCAAGTTGAGAATTTCTCAAAATAGAAAATGAGCAGATAAAAATAACTCAAAACAATTCTTATGGACAAAAGATTGCGCTAAACTACTAATTTATGTGTAGAAATAATGGACAGTAAACGATGAGTAAAGGGGAAACTTGGTGAAGTGGTACAAATGCGGTCATGAAAGCAACAAAACAAGTAATACCACCATTTCACTATAAACAGAAATTAAAAAGGCCTTATTCTCCAGTCATCACATCCGCCCATCCACACATTTCATTCTACAGTAACACCCTAGCACACACTCCGTTGACTACTTGTTTATTGAGTACTGTGAGAAACTTGAATTACACGCTTTTCACTCCAAAGGGAGGGAGAAGTTTAAGTGACAAGAATGACCGTAAGATTCTTATAGATTTGAAATTTTCCGTTCCGTTTTTTCTGAGGTATGAAGTCTGGTTTAGGGTTGTCTTACGTTCCTTTCAGAAAGCACTAAGGATTTTTGATGATAATACGTTTCTGGGAAACTGCCCACCTACACCTCCCCTAAGCCAACTT